TTAATGTCTACATTTGTCCTTAGTGCTCAGTAGAAGTATGCTGCCTTTTTCATACACTGCATCAAGATCTTAGAGTTCTAGTCTTTGCCAGAGTGACTTTGGGAGGTTTGCCCTGTCTAGAGGAGTAGAACATTTTTGTGAGCTAGTCTTGCCTTAAAATCAAGCTTAACTGGTGCCAATTTAAGATTAAAAAGAAGTTTTTATTTACAAAGTCAAAATAGACAAACTCCTTTAAAAGTTTAGAAAGATGTAGCAGAAAATAAAGAAAAAACTGGCTTAATGTACTTCTCTCAAGATCAAACCTAAAAGAGCTCTCCCTCTGTTTCCATGTGACTGTGTGCACTTGCTTACTGAACTTGATATGAGATGTAATTACCTTCTTCAAACTGTGGTAACAGGAGGGAACCTCAGACTGGGAAAGCATGCTAGCTTTTACCTTTTAATTCTTGTTTGGTTATTGATTGGAAATTTATTCACACATATAAGTGGGATGAATATGTGCACTTTATTACAGCATTTTGACTGAGATTAGTTTCAACATTAATTAATCTCTCTGGGAATGACTGACCGTCTGTGCTCCTGAAGTGTGTGCATGGTGTTTGCGTATGCATGCAGATGTTCCACTTAAGGTCTTCCTCTGTCTGAGAGTAAAGTCTAGCCAGATGCATCAGTTCTTACCTAAAATTACAGGCATAAGCATGGTGTAGGGTAATTGCTAGTCTGTTCTTTTTTCACAGTTATTCCAATCTCTTAGTAGAAAATCTCTCCAAACTTATGGCATATATTAACATTGCTACTTTGGGGTGTTTTGGCTTTTTTATTTATTACACAAGCTCTTGTTTTAGAAACACTCCTCTTCCATCTTTCCCCAGAAGCTCTCGGAAGTCTATAACAATCTTTTTCTTGTTCCTTCCTATTTATTCTTCCTGTATTCCTTACTCTGGTATGTGCCTCTGGCACTGAGGCTTTTGAGATTTTGAAACAGAAGAAATTTTGTGCAGGACTGACTTTCAGTGACATTAATCTTCCAGTCCTGCCTAAGAACACCATTCCACTTCAAGCAGTTGGGCCAATTCTTCTCAAAAGATAGTTTTAAAAAGGTCAAACTTTTATCTTCTCCTTTATTGGGATACTCATTTTTGTTTCTGTCACCATTGTCCTTGGACTCCAAATTGTAGTCAATGTAATGTACTTATGTAGGAATTGCATAGATACTTACTGTGGGCAAACCTGCAGAAGCTCTGGCATGTTGCTAGTTACAGGCAGAAGTACCACAACTTAAGCATCTCCTGACGCAAGTTTCTGCCAGGTGTCAAGAGGAAGAAAATTCACGTGGTATCTCCTATAGGCCAGTACCTATTTCTTTTCTGTTGGTGATTCTCTTAATTTGAATTCATTGCTTAAAAGAAAAATAATTTAAAAAACCCCTGAAATCTTGACTGTCATTGAATTACTCAACTCTTGTTCAAGGAGGCACAGGATATTCCTCAGAAGTTACCAGATAGCTTATATTTATATATTGGGAACGATTCTCTCCCGCCTAAGGAAGCACTATTGAAGTTTGCTACAAATACCTGGCAGAAGCTAGCCTAAGTGTCAGGGAAAGAAGGGAGGAGACGAGACAATAGATGGTATTTAGAGGCAGAAAAAATTACTCATCAGTGCTTTAACAGCTCAGAATTTCAAACTGTAAGACTCTATGTGCTAGCTATGGCACAATTTCATTGACTCTTAAACTTCCAAAGATTACAGAAAAGACTGTGGGGAAATAACTTTCCAAGGAAAGGTTGTTCCAAAAAAATATTTGCAGACAACTCTTGAGGCTGAAAATACTACAGCATGCATAATTCTTTGGCTTCAGAATTCAAGAAAAGAGGTTTCTCATGCTTAAAGACTGAAATACAAAATGTTTGCATTCAGAGTAGGAAAGCTGTGGTACAATCATTGCTCTTCCCATAAACAGCACACTTCTGTTAAGTGTATTACTGTAAGACTGGGCTAATTATCTTTGGAGAATATAAGGCTACTCTAAGAGTCTGTCTTCTGGCAGTTCATGCTTATGAACCTGTCAATAATGATTTATATAGTTTTATTTAATGGATGAAAGTATAGTAGCCCAAAGATGGTGGTGGGTTGTGGGTTTTTGGTTGGTTGGTTTTTGGGTTTTTTGTTGTTGGGGGGGGGGTGGTGGTGGTGGTGGTGGTGAGAGCTTTTTTTCCCTACCTCTAAAGAAATAATGTAACATAGTTTACTAGCAGATAGTGTTGTTTTGGTTTGTGGCAGTATGTTTTTCTCATGTATCTAAAGTTCTTTCTAGGTAGCATTTGGTCAGAAAAATAGGAGGAAACCCTTACCTTAGGCACAGAATATAGTATGAGGAATGTTTCATCTCACCTTAAATTCCTATATGTCAGACCTCCTCTTCAGGTGATGCTGTGGCTGTCTTTTTTCCAAAAGCTTCATTTTAATTGTGTTGGGGCTAATTTCTGTAATTTCAATGTGCATAAGGCGTTTGTTTGAAGTGGACAAAATGTTGTAGATGATCTCCAAGGTTACCTTTAGCCTTCACAGGGAAGATAAAAAGCCATCCCATTGCTAGCTGAGTAGTTTGCTGGAGTACCTTTTCTCACTGAATCATCTACAGAACTTTACAACCTCAGTGCTCTCTGAGAAATAATAGTACAGATAACACACGAGAAGTGGCTCCTTGAGAGTGGGTTCAGTTATTTAACCAGACAGATGCTCTTGTTTCTGCAATACTTGGAGTAGTGGTAAGAGCATTTCCTGGATGAGAATGGATGAACACATTTATAAAATGCTCCTTACCTGTACAGTAACAGGAGGTTTGTCTCATGTGCTGTCCATATAGGTATTCCCCAGGGCCACCTTCTGTATTCACTCTTCTGAATCCTTTGATGTTTTCAGTCACTCTCATGCAAAATGAGTCGTGGCTAGCCCTGCATTGTTAAGCACGGGCCGGGCCGTAGTAGTGCAGATAGTAGCACAGGTACCACCAACCGGTCAGGCTCATTAAGAGCATGTGTGGTGGAAGTGGACTATATACAGGGACAGAACTTCACTAAAATGTCTAGCTAGGTAAAGCAAGTGAAAGTGTGAGCTCTGTCTACCAGAGAGTTTAAATCAGAGATGAGCTGTCTGATCTAGTTAATCATTGGCCACCAGAATATGTGCCATTGTGAAATAATACTCGAGTTTCATCCAAGAGTAAATATTCTTTTATTGCATGTTCTAGTTATGTAATTTTTAAGACAGAAGTGGCTTGCTTACTCCAGAAAAACCTGTTAGAGCTACTAAAGTGTAATTTACTGCCTGCATACTACTGTTCAATACAATGGTGTAACAGAATGTCTGTTTAGTCTGGATTAGAGTACCTGAAGTGAATACATGCAGAAATGAAATGTCGGTATATTTTACTCTACCAAAAGGGTTTTTTTCATTATTACCTGTTATGAAGTACTAGTGAATAATCTTGTAAAGAAAAAACCCATATTTTTTTTATATTTGCATACCATTACTGATAGCTTAAATAAATGTCCTTAAACTACGATTCCTCTTTCAAATGTAAACAGGTATCTGGCATATTACTTTGGCCAAGCGAGGAGATGAGTAGTATTTTCTTCTGAAGAATTCAAAATAAATGTGAAATGTCTGGAGAAACAGCAATGAGGAGGGTAAGAAAATACTTTCAAATTTTTTTTTTTTTGGGGGGGGGGGGAGTTTTAAAATTAATAGTAAGTTAATGTTTTCTGTTACAGGCTTTCTAAAAATACATATATATATTTATTTGTGTTTAAAAGGAAGCTGCTGCAGTTAATGTTAGCAAAACTTAATTGCAGATTTTTTCATTGACTTTCTTATTCCAGTCAGAGGATTATTAGTCAACAGTTGTTGTAATCTTGAGTATTTTAAAGGAACAAAAAGGAAGGAACAAACATAGTTCTGTTGCTTTAAAAACAACCTTTTTTTCCCTGATGATGAATTAGATCTTTCAGAGAATCTTAGTTCATGGTTTTGCAGTATTGTTGTTTCTGTGGGTTGCTGAAATAGACAAGGAAATGAGTCGGATTAAATATCTTTATTTTATTCATGAAGTTGAACTGCTTTCTAGTACTTCTCCTTTGATGGCTCTTCAGTATTAGTCTGTTCTTAGTTCACTTCCATATACACTCTGATTTTGAGCCTGGTGCATTGGAATTTGCTTTAAAAGCAAGGATTTTTTGTTGTTGTTGTTTAGTTTTAAGCTTACTTTTCTAAACAATGCAAAATTCCCACCCATCCCCTGCCCCACCCTGAATTAGTGGTAATCAGTAGATACAATTATTCTCAGACTTATTTGTATCTTAAAATTTTAGTTGTTGACAAATAGGTGGGTTTGTGTACTTAGTTTTCCTGTTCCTACTGTATGTTCAGTTTACCTATCTACATGGCTCTTGTACAAAGAAAGAAATAAAGAATTGGTCAAAATGGCAGAACTGATCCTGAAAGAAAACAAACAAGACTCTGTATTTAAAAAAAAAAATACAACCAAAAAAACCCCAACAACACAAAAAACTCCAAACCAAGTAAGGAATCCTCTGGTGTCTGAATGGAATCTTTTCATTTATCAAGGCAAACTGGAAGTCAGGGGAATGGTTTCACTGACAATAATAATAGCTATTGTTCAAATCCAGGCAGTAAACTTGTCAAGTATTAAGTAGGAGAATAGAAAACAGCTGAATATTTGAACTTTTAAGGAGTTTTTTGTGTTTATTCCACTTCTTTTTGTGTGGGTTTTTACTGAAAAATAAATACCAATTCCATGATAAAACATTGTTAGGTTTGCAATTATTTTTAACTTAAACCTTTCACTGTTCCAATACTGAATACATTAACCATGAATATCACTTAACACTTTTAATTTCATCAGTCAGTGAGAATTTGAGTTTGTCAGCAAAGGCAAACATGAAAGTAATTTTTTTCTTCCTTCCCTTCCGTCTCAGATTTGTGGGTCTGTACTTCCAAACAGAATTTGTACAGAGAGAAAATTCTGAATATGGCTTGATTTGCTCTTGATCTTGGCAGTGTTTCTAATGAATGTCCCATGGACTCTATCAAGTTCAGAGGGTTCTACTCTAGCTCTGAGGAGCAGAACCCTGAGCAGCAACCTGGTATCAGTGAAAACATTTCTTCATCGTTCTCTTTAAAAGAGCAACAGAAAATGAGTGATTATTCTGGACTTGCAAATAACCATAGCCAGATGATTGCTGAAGATTCAGAAATTCAGGCAAAGCCTGAACACTCTCATGAAGTTCTTCAGGAAGATATTGAAATGAGCAGTGGATCCAGTGGAAACGACTTCAGTGGAAATGACACAAATGAAAACTACTCAAGTGGGCATGATTCTCATGGCCATGAATCTGATGAAAATGGGAAAGATTCAGCAATGCTCATGGAATCTTCAGACTGTCATAAGAGGTAGTAGCTAATATTAAATGAATTTCACTTTTATTTTTGTCACTGAAGGCTTTTTCCATTTGAATCTAATTTCTGAATAACAACTGCGTTATAAATCATATCTTCATATTGAAGCTGAGTGTTCTTTTCTACTAGTTAACTTGTACTCTTGTATGATGTAAATTGTGTAATATAATTTGTAAGGAGAAGGTCTCTAGTGATCCACAGGGTCAGCTTAATTTGATGCTTTCTTCTCATCATTGTTTTTTTAATTTCCCTTATTTATATATTTTCTTGTAACCCATCTTCTGTAATTGTGTACCAAAAAGTGTCAGTCTGGTTTTATGTGTAAGGATAAAATTGTGTTATTTTCATCTTTTAAATAATAGCTTAATGTACAGAGCAAAGCCTACAGTAAGAAGAACCTTTTTAGACAAATGTGCAACAGCTATAGTTTCCATTTGTTGTACCAGGCAGAAACTTTTAAAGTTGGTTTGGTGGGTTTTTTTTTTCCCCTAGATAGTGAGTCATAAATAGGAAAATACAAAGCTAAAATGAACTAAAAGGTGTTTGTTTAGGTTTGCTAATATTAACCTCTTTCTGTCTTTCCTTATTATAGTTCAAGCTCAAATGCATTTAGTCTGATGATTGCAAACTCTGAACACAATCAGTCTAGCAGTGGATGCAGGTAAATTAATGTGCATATATTTTCAGTAATTTGCATGTATGTACGGCTGAATGCTGAAAATTAATAGTGTTGTGTTTTGGTTTTTTGTTTCGTTTTGGCTAAACCTGGAGGAGCACACAAGAAATCCTATCTTTGATTGTCTTCCTGTCCATAATCAGTAGCATGTCCTATTAACCACTCGGTTGAATTAGAGTTTTTTGTTGTTCCATGCAAATTGTGCAATAACCTTTCAAGTCGTCTTTGTTTTGATTTGGTAGCTTAACTCTGTAATTTTATTTTTGTGGTTCACTTTGAATATTGCTTCAGCTCTAGTGGTTTTAGTTGATTGGTTTTATTTTCTTTTTGAAGCTTTTCTTTAAATTTTCTGCTCTTCAGTATTTAGTCTGAAGCCCTTGCTGGGGGACAACCTAGTAGTAAGGTTAATAACATCAGAATTCACCCATTGAGTTGGATGTGTTCTGATGTCCAGCAGCCATATCATCTGCCTCTCCTATGTTCCATTCGCCAGGATTCAAGCCTCAAGTCTATAAGGATAAACCAACATCATCTGCAGGAATCCCTCTGTATGAACTCTGCTTCAGACCCTGATAGCCTTGAGAAACCTGGTGGCATTGAAGGCTCAGATCTGGACACTTCAGAGTGCCCTACTGTACTTGTTGGCTTTTTTTAAGTCAGCTTCTGATCAGGAGACCAAAACCTGATCCTGAGCAGATCAAGGATATCTAGCTATAGCATACTGATATTAAGGCCCCTATCTACATGTACCTACCTGAAAGTGTTTCTACCTGATGAAGTTCCTAGAGAAGTGGTAAATTAAAATTACCCCTTTGCACCATTTGGTGCCAGATGAATTTATTGTGCATGTCTGCCTTGCAGGCACCTGGAGATCTTGTTCCATGCTGTGTTTTCAAGTGGAAATTGTGTTCTGGAGTTCATGTTGCTTAGTATCAAAGCCAGAGTGAACCAAAGGCATTTCTTAATCTTCCTTTCCCATTGATTCCATTTTCTTCACCGCAAGATATTTGAGGGTTTACTTGTTACAGTTTTTCTGATAGCTCTTTATTTTAAATTTCATTAATAGCTCTCTGCTCAGAAATAAATGGGAATCTACATGGTACAGCTGTCAGGCACAGTGCTAGAGGGTTACAAAGCAGAATCTGATCATCTAGGAATGGGAGACTGAGGATATATAGAGAATGATCTTTAAAGAAAGGACTAAAATAGGCTGACAATCTGTAAGTTTAGTCTTTCATTCAAAGACTACTGGGCTTTGGATTTCAGTATCTGCACCAACCAACTACTTAGTTTAATACCTGTACGTACTTTTCTGGTTTACTGTCCACATAAAGCAAAATGGAAAGCTCCTGTCTTTATAGAACTTGCTTATTCTGTCCTCTGCAAGTCAAGCCTTCCCTGTGGTTGGCTACTGCGCCTGATGCTACTGATCTTTTTCAAAACATTTTTGAGTTGTATAACTTATTTTCCAAGGAGCCTGGTCTTCTATATTTGCTGCTGCTGTAGGCTAATTTGGAAAGGTTTTCTTGCAAAAGTCTGACTGCTCTCATGAAGCATACTTGGAGAGTGCAAAACCAGCAGTATGCTCGGTTATCTCATAATCTTTTCCCTCTCTCTTTCTCCTGCCAGCGTAGAGGGTTCTTCTGTTAAGAAGGCCCTGTTTGATTGCATCAGGCCAAACTGTCAAGCCACGTTATAGATGTGATTTTAATATACAGCATGAACACAATGTTTCCCAAGGGAGCACTATACTCTTTGGTCTTATCCCTTGCCATTATTTCTCAGTACAAAATGACCACTGATAAAGTGAATGCTATGTTTCTCATAGTACATTGTGATGTAAGCAAGAACAATGTATGTTCTCTAGAACAAGCCAGCTTTGTCGCTTTCCAAGCATTTTTGGTGAAATACACCCAACACCTGTCAGATGAGTGATCTACCTGAAGAACTTTTCAAACTTCCCAGAAAAATGTTCAGAAACCCTCTTGAAAATTACCTGGCAGCTGGAGCCACTTTACTGAGCACTTCAGACAGGGCTGTGCTGTTGCCAAGACTATTGTTTCTACAGTGGTTCTTAGGGTAACTTCTTAGAGACTTACAGCCATGACAGTCAGGTGGTAAGAGAAGACATTGCTTTTGATGGGAAAGAATTTATTTTTAGGAAGGCTTAAAAAGAGCTTTAGAATCCTCTTGATTGTTGTGACTGATTAGCTTTTAAAATCTACTCCAATGAGAAAGACAAGGTGATTTTTCATTTTAACTGCTTCCTACCCACCTGCCACTCATCTTTGTCATCCACCCCCTCCCCTCCCTTACCTCCTTTTCTCTTCCTTTTTGATTTTGTCAGCAGCTCTTAATAATGGGGAGAGAGATCAGGAACTGCAAAGGAAGGTGTGATACTTTTGTGACGTTGGCACTGATGATCTTTGTAGTTTGACCTTCTACACTGAGACAGCACTTCTGAACATACACCTGAGAAATGTGAATGCAATTTCTGTCTCCAGCCTCCTCTGATTCTTTAGCCTACGTATTTAGTCAAGTTTCCTTATCTTATTTGATGTATTGCCATGCTTAACTGGGATACTTTGTTCCAAGGATTTCTCCATTTGTTTTGTTAACTTGATGCTCTCCCACTGCCATTCCCTTTTCAGGGACCTTTCTTATGAGAACCTGCTCGAACAGGAGGTGAAGACTTGAATGGACCTCCTGCTTCTCTCCTTTGAAGTCCATGAACATTTCTATGAGTTTGAAATTGAAAGGAACTAAGGAAAATACCACTAAAAAGGGAGGAGAGAGACTGTGGGGAAAAAAAAAAAAATTCTGTGGTGCTTGGGTATATGTACTGTTGCACATACAGAGTACATTTTACAATAAGACTTCAGGTGGTGGTAAATCTTTCATTTTAAATGATTCTAGCTAATTTAAGAATTATTGTAAGTTCTGAATGTTAGTACTAAGTACTGGAGAAGTTAATGTGGCTAGCTGTACAAATTTAGGTATGTGACAAGTGTCAGAGTATATTTGCACTTCTATGAGGATGGTGTGTGACTTCAAGCATTCAAGTGACATTTTATATTTTGTCTTTAATCTTACAGTAGTGAGCAGTCCACTAAAGCCAAAACACAAAAGGAATTGCTGAAAACGTTACAAGAACTGAAAGCTCACCTTCCTTCTGAAAAGAGAATTAAAGGCAAATCTAGTGTCCTAACGACTTTGAAATACGCCCTTAAAAGCATTAAACAAGTTAAAGGTAATGATACTACCTAGATAATACTAACCTGGATAAAATTAAACATTTAAAATAGGAATTTAAATGTGGTTGTCTGTGTAAAGCTAAGTTTATTATGTTTGAAAACCTCTCTAAAGAGATGTTTTCATGGTGTTCCCATTTGTTGGCTCTGTTAATTTGTGTTCCTTTGGGAGTTAAAGCAGCTTTCTAGATGCTTGATATTTTACTGATATTTGTTGAGTTATACAATTAATTTGAAAACAATTTACAATTTCATACTCTCTGAACTGTTAAACAGACCAAAATATATGATCATGCACATGTGGTATATTAAGATAGGTAAATTTATTTGGGTTACTGTTGAGGAAGCTCTATCAAGGGAAAAACTAATTTGGAGTAGTACCTAGATTTCCCAGCTACCCATTCTATACTTATGCCAAAGAAGATTTTGTCCATTTACCGCTTCCAGGCTGGATGTTTATTGATGAGATTTTTCATTCTGAATATAAGTTGTTTAATGTTCTCATGTAGCCAATGAGGAGTATTACCAATTGTTGATGATTAATGAATCTCAGCCTGCTGGACTCAATGTGTCATCTTACACTGTGGAAGAAGTTGAGACTATAACCTCAGAATACATCATGAAAAATGCGGTGAGTATGGTGACCCAAGTCTACAGCGTGTGTTGAAAATGTTTTCTAGAACTGGAATTCTCAGGCATGCCTTCTTTTTACAAGGTAAGAGTTGGTAGCAAGGCCAATAAGCTGAAGAAGCTGGCTTTTGCCGTCCAGGGAATGTTGAGTAGAAACTGAGCCGTTGCAGATTTTGCCAGTAACACTATGATCTAAGCTTTTTTCTGTCAGTTAGGTGGGAAATAAGTAGTCTAAACTCCTTGGTCCTCTGAACTGTACCTCATGCTTAGAGATGATGGTGTGACATATCTGAACATCCATGTAATATAATGCACAGTGAGACATCATTAGTTTTCATTTTAGAACACCTGCTAAAGTTGGAGAGTAACTCTTTCTGAATTTTAGTCAAGGCACACTGAATTGTTTCAGCTTACTCTTATCAGTAGGGGTTATTTGGTGTTTCACCAGTTCTTTGTGTTAGCGTGACTGAAAAGTGGTGAAAGTGTTGGAATCACTGTTTTTTGTGTCCTCTTCTGTGGTATTTGTCTAGTCTTTGCAACTGGTATAGACTTAATGTGTGATACAGTAATACTGTGTCTTCTCATCTAGATAAGAACAGCTATGACAATCAACACAGTTTTTAGCAGTAAAATGATAGTCTGAATGATTTTTTTAAAAATTATTATTTATTTTCCACATTCCCAGTATTTTAGGAATATGTTATGAAGTCAAAAAATGCAGATGACACCAAACTGGGCGGGAGTGTCGATCTGCTCGAGGGTAGGATGGCTTTGCAGAGGGATCTGCACAGGCTGGACCGATGGGCCGAGGCCAGCTGTATGAGGTTCAACAAAGCCAAGTGCCAGCTCCTGCACTTGGGCCACAACAACCCCATGCAACGCTACA